CTTTTCATATCTTATGGGTTTTAACTTGTGAAGGGAATTGCAGGGAAAATGGATCGTCTGCTCAGGTTTTAAACTACTCAGACATCAATTCTTCTGGTTCTAACCGTAGATTGACAAATGCAAGAAAATTGGTGGGCCTTCCATGGCTTGAGCTTTTGCAATGTCTGATTTCCAGGTTTTTTCTATTACCCATTCATCTTTTACCTTTTTTTAAGCTTACTTAATATTCTCTTATGCTCTTATTTGCCCTCTAAACCCCCACCCCGTAAAACTTTATTTCAATATTTAGTTTATTTCATTTGCTTTTTAATATTTTTCTAAATCATTAATTTGGACTGATCCATACCTCCCTAATCTGGATTGCCTATCCAATCTTCTAACAAAGATCTTCTTTTTTTTGTACAGTAGATCTAACAAATATCTATGGGTGAACAATACATCTCACCGATCTAAGTTTTAAAACGATGAATTTGGGTGTAAAAACATCTCAAGCACCCCCGTACCTCGTTACCATGCTGTAGTATCCAATCTTGTTGACACCACCTACTATCATCTTCAAAAAAGCTAGTTCCCTAAGTTTCTTCAAAAACGGGTAGGGCCCGTTTCACCCACTAGATTAGCTAAAAAAACAAAAAAAAATATCCATGCCTTTCAACAAATACAATTGGACGGTGATGGAGAGCATGAGGATCTTGTGCCACATTCCGCATACTTCTCTTCTGTTACCGTCCGAACCGTTGAGTGGACGTTGATGAGCGCATAACCACAAATATCCATTGTAGTCGGGAGGATTATGACTCACACAGCTCATCCACGCAAGCAGCATGACAAGGAATCGGATATAAACTCCGTAATTTCGGCCGCGAATTTACGCGACTCCGCTAGTTGCCGAAGTTTCGCTATTTTCTGGTCTCCAACGAAATTAAGCAAAGTACATAAAAGAGGACGTTAGCGTGCTTCTCCCAAACCACTCTGTCCGGGTGTGCTGAAATACGTGAATTGGCACGTGTCATGGGTCATAGCGTCCCTAAAACACCAGCGTCGTCGCACGTGTGGTTTGGTGATCCTTTGACCAATCACGAATCCACTTTTTTAAAATTTACAATTTTATAATTAAGGTTGAATGCACATTTTCAAGCAATCGTAAGGTTCTTGACCTCGGAATTATATTTTCCAGAAAAACTTAAGGTGTGCCTTACTTGTTGCATAAGTTGCACACCTGCTACAAACCCACCAATAATTTTTGAAAAGTGCCATGCACCTCGGTAAGAATAATATATCAGTAAATCAATAAATTGATAATATAAATTGGAGGAAAATATAGATATCTAAAAATTAATTTAAAAAATAATATGTACAGATGATATAAAATAATGAAAAAGTTTATATAATTTGTCAAACGCATACTATAGGTTCACCTAAAAAACCCACTAGAGAAGGTGGTTTCTATGCTGGAAGACCCTCAAATCGATCGTCTCGGCCTTGAGATTCATAAACGTGAAAAAAGGAAAATTCTAATCCTAAAAGGAGTTCATCTTCTGACACATTATTTGGATCGCCCATTTTCAAGATTTTCAAGTATTTGTCTGTGTCATCGTTATCATTTTAAAAATTTTAAATTTCATAATTAAGAGCAACAATAGATTTTTATATAATAAATAAACAATACTACATTTTCAGCATAATTTGAGATGCACCTTACTTCAACTTGAGGTTGACACCTTATACAAACCTCACCCATAAAATAAAGTTCCAATTTGTAGTTATTGCGAGGATATAATAAATAAACAATACTTCTATGACATGACTAAGTAGCATTTATCCTATTTGATAATTTTTTTTTTCTAAATTTTAGTTCACTGCAACAATATGGTATGATCTTTTGCTCAAACAATAATTTTACTGAAAATAACAACATCAATAAATGTGACAATTACATTAATAGTAACAGGAACAGCAATTCGAGGTGCATGATTGCCGTTAGAAAAAACGTAAAAGAACCTCAGCACAGTATTGCAGTTAGCAAAAACCCAAAAATCTAAATGCAGCAAAAATCCAAAAATCTAAATATGCGAGTAAGTAGTCCATCCAAATTTTTGTCTATAGTATAGGGCTTTTCAATATAATAAATATCGGACAACCCCACGAATGTCAAAAAATAAAAAAATGAACCGTCGAAACATCAAGTTGGGTGTAAAAATTGAAAAAAAAAGAATAAATAAATAAAGAAGAAAAAAAGATGAAAAATGGGGGGTAGGACCTCATGGTAAAATTACAACACTCATGGGCCAAAGGTAACTTCCGTTATTTTTACACGGTTCATACATAAAAACCCGTTCTAATTATGATAAATAATTGCCTAATTGCCCATATTAGGCATTGGGAACCATAAACAATTAGTCATACTTTGGAAATTTCTACCTCTTTAAGTAGCCCAAGTAAAATATGACGATTATTCAAGATTAGTAAGACTGAGCTCCCAATTGATGTTAACACCCCTACTCTTTCAATAGCAATACGAAACTCTCTTTTTTTTTTCTTTTTTTTTTTTATTGTAAACCCTTATTCCTTGTTGCTAACCCTATACAATCAGGGGTCCTTCTGTTATTTAGCCCATTGATGATAATATTCCAAAGTCAAAGAAATTAATACCCACAAGTCCTCAACATGCAGTTACTATAACTATAGCATGGGTATTTCATTACCAAAATTGAAAGGACACTTTAATCCGTCACCAAAATTCTCTTGCCAACTCCACACCATTCGATGGGGATTCGGGTCTAAGGATCCCCATTTTGCACAATTCCCACTTGTTTTTTTTAGCTTTTCTCTCCCCACTATGACTCCCTTGAACGAGCACGTATACTATTCCCTATACTATTCCCTCAGGAGCATAATTTACTTCTACTCCCTTAGGGGACCTATTTGAAAGATTTTTTCAATATGAAATTATAACATCTTAGAATCACTAGATGATTATTCTCCAAAAAAAAAAAATTGAAAATTTCAGTTTTCTAACACTTAGATCTCACCCTCTAAAATTTGGATGATTTCTATTCAATCTTGAGATATTCGGGTCTAAGGATCCCCATATTTGCACAATTCCCACTTGTTTTTTTTCAGATTTTCTCTGCCCACTATGATTCCCTTGAAAGAGCACGTATACTATGCTCCCTCAGGAGCATAGTATACTTCTACTCCCTTAGGGGACCTATTTGAAAGATTTTTTCAATATGAGATTATAACATCTTAGAATCACTAGATGATTATTCTCCAAAAAAAAAATTGAAAATTTGAGTTTTCTAACACTTAGATCTCACCCTCTAAAATTTGGATGATTTCTATTCAATCTTGAGATATTATTTTTTCCAAGTGTATAAAGGCGTAATTAGAAAATATTTTTATTGAGGTTAATCTATATATTAAAGAGTTTATATCCCCAAAATTTAGCATCCTAAAATAAATAGACAGTATACTCCACAAATGTCTTTCGGCCCCCTGAAAACCAATGTAACATGCTGGCACATCCGAAAGGGACTGCTTATTGTGATACATGTAACACCACAAAATGTACAGTAAACCTATCATTTTTCTGTCAATTAAAAGGAACCGCCAGATGATTTCTTTAATTTTTCTATCCAATAAAAAATGAACTGCGGGGATGATTTTTTTTGCTCGCACCGGACTACGAATCCTTTTATTTTTTTATTTATTTTTGGATATGTTAATGGTGGGAATGGAGGGTGAGATTTTATGTTGGAAGCTGATGCCCCCACACCATTTCCTTCTATTTTTAAGTATGGATGGTGGATATGACCTCTATCTGTGTCCTAGTATACACCTTCTCAGAGTGTATATTTCATTGGAAAATCTAACATTCGGGCCTAATGGTAGATGGTGAAGATTTATCTTCTCAGTGACGGAGCGTATATCTTAAACTGTTTATGTATTGTACATTTCCTAACACATTGTCCACCCTCTAGTATATCTTCCAAGAACGAGGTCGGTAAAAAGGATTTTGATTTAGTCTAACCAAAAGATCTAGCCAAAAATTTTATAGCATTTTATTTTAACAAATGACAAAAATTACCTATAACCAAAAGTAATTTGCTCTATATTATACTTTTTGTTTTGGGATTGTATAATACAATGAGACCATTTACCTTTCATACAAAGAGGTCATAATTATTTATAATCATACGATGTGAAATCTGATAGTAAGGGTGTGTCACAAAGTTCAAAAAAATTCCTTTTGAAGTTTGAACTTGGTCAATAGAATAAATGCAGCCATCCAATTTCACATCCAATGGTCAAGATTAATTGTGACTACCTTGTACCAAATGGTCTCATTGTATACTTTTCCTTTCGTTTTTTGATTTTTTGTAGATTAGTGAGGAACACAAACCCCTACCTGATTAAAAATAGTTAGTGGTTTTCAAATGCGTACATAGGGATGAAAACATATATCAATAGTTATGGCTCAAGTGGTATTACCATCACGACCTCAACTTCATTCCTAGAATATCTCAAATATTCATTCTTACTGCCGCTCTTGAATATACTTAGGAGTAACAAAATAACAAAAACCAAATACGAGTATAATACCAAATTGAGCATTGGCACCGAAGCAATCATTTAACAATCAATTTGGGGCTCATGTTAAAGAGAATGAACCTCTCAAGCAATAGGTGATAAGATGGGAGAGCATAGATGAAAGAGAGTGGACTTAGGTGGGCTGGTTGTGTAGCACACATTCAATATAGCACCTGTTAAAAAGTACACGTTAGTTCAAGTAGAAGGTTAAAAAAAATACAAAAGGTAAACCCCAAAAGACAAGATTGGAAGTAGTGAGAAAAAATATCGTGACTTATAGCTTCACTGAGTGTATGGTCCTTAATCGATAAGAATAACATACTAAGATTTATGTAACCAACCCCAATTAGTTAGAAAAAAGCTTTGACAATGACGATGAACCCTCAAGTGTCCACTAAATCATCATAAAACATCCAAAACTTGGCCCCTTTTACAATTTCCACTGTAATTCATTACACCAAGTCATTCCAATTGAACTTTAACTGTCATTTTGTTTTAAGTAAAAATAAACAATTATATACAGCAAAATTTGAGTCTCGAAAGTCAAATTCAAACCCATGCGGTGGAAGACAACAGCTATATCATTTGAAATTTCAAATATGTTATATTATAGTTTCAGTTTCTTCAGACGGATGGGAAATGCTTGTTGAGGTTGAAAGGAAGAGAGTAGAATTCCTCGCTCCTCGAATCAGTCTTAAAAGAGTGGAATTTCTCCCACCAATGCCATCCTCTGTCCCTCCTCAATGAGCTCTCACCAAAGCGCATTGTACAGTCCAAAAACACAGCGACAATGGCCGCAACAGTTGCAGGTGATGAGAATATCACATTCATGCTATCATTAAACTGTCAAACAAAACAAAGAAAAGTAAAAATCAAAAAGAAAAGTCTACATATATATATATATATATATATATAGAGAGAGAGAGAGAGGAGGGAGGGGGGAAGGAGAGAGAGAGAGATGAGGAAATACCCATCTAGCTTTGGTGTTGACTGGGCCATGACCAGAAACCAATACAAACTCGTTGAAGTATTGGGGCACTGATAACCCAAGGAAGAGTGAGAAGCCGAGGATGAACTTTGTCCTGAAACTATTGAGGTTGCAGAACTGAAGAAAACCCAGCCCTGCAGAAGCTGCAGAGAAACACAACATATAGAGTTGAAATACCCCCATAATATGTGTGAGAGAAAGAGAGAGAGAGAGAGAGGTTCAACACAAAGCATATAGCCGAAAATGGTGACATGACCTATGCTGTGTGAACCTGTACATGATTTATAGAACGAGAGGGTGTGTGTGTGTGAGAGAGAGAGAGACAGAGACAGAGAAAGAGAAAGAGAGATACAGAGAGAGAGAGACAGAGCTTTAAGCTACAAACCGATCATGCTTATGCATTTGTGTGACTGCATATTAAGTTCAAATTCCAATATAACTCATAAAAGCACAAACTCTGAATTAGAGACTAAGCATTATGTCAAATTCACAGAACCAGATGTTACATCGCAACTTGTCCAAGGCAGAAACACATTACACATTATGTGGATGTATCATTCAATCTAAATATTTATGTTCTTAGAGATTCATGAAGGCTAAAAACTAATGAAAAACATGCCACTTTTCAAGCATACAATGGCACAACTGCATTCTTTTAGTTTTAATGATAAATATAATAAAAAATCTATGACTGCCATTATGCAAGAGGAGAGAAAATGTAACTACATCTATCTTAAGATAATCGGGAAGATGTGATAGTGAGAAACTTGTCCAGAATGCTAATAAGTAGCTCTCAGAGGAACGTACCCACATACGCAAAGAACACACAATACAGAGCTGCCACAATAGGTGCAGGAATCGATGCAAAAAGTGCTCCAAATTTTCCTGGGGAGAAAGAGAGAGAGAGAGAGAGAGAGAGAGAGAGAGAGATTTATTTAGTTCATATGAAAGTAAACAATGTTCATAATTTCAGATTTTATAAGCTAATATAGTGTGGGTGTAACATGCAAACCTACCAAGGATTGAAAAGAATATCATGAACAAAGCTGATATCTGAATCACTCTCCGGCTTCCAACTCTTGTCAATGCTAAGAAGCCAGTATTTTCACTGTAAAAAGTGGAATAAATCATAAAATCTTTTGTCTTAATGGGTGTTAAGTCAAACTTTCAAGCAAAAATCTACATCTTACACTGATGCCGTGGAGCCATTTCCAGTTCCAAATAAACCATCAAAAAGAATAGCCACTCCCTGAAAATCCAAAAATTAGAATGTAAGTTGAAAATAGTTAGTGCAAGAATGGGGGTAGAAAAATAGACTGGGGACAGATCATAAAAATTAGAGACAAAGAAAGAGGGAAATTCCCAGGATATCTCTAGTTCTATCAAAGAATTTCAAGGATGTCTAGTTCCACTACTATGGTGTACAGTACTCCAAGGATATATCCACTGTCTATTCCCTACAAAAGATGGTTGATATGAACTGAACTGGAGCTCCTAGGGAGTATCACCCAAGCACGTCAATCTCAAATCATCCATCAGATGGAACAGATGGTGAATTTGTCTCGCATTATATCATAGACATAGTCTATTGGACTATGGTGTATTTTCCCCCCTAATAAATAAGGCATTCAAGACAAATATTTATACGGAAGACTACTGGGCCAAGATGCCATTAAAAGGAAGAATTCTTCAAAGTCCTTACCTGCCAACCAACACCACGACTGAAAACGGAAGGTGGCAATGGGGTAGCACTCGCATAACGTGAAGCAGCAATGAATGTACCAGTAGACTGCAACCTAATAGAGCAAATTAGGATTTTGACAAGATATTGTGCACAGTGTGTGCAATCAAACCAAGTTAAAATAAGTATCTCAAAAATTAATTCACCAGTAGTACTAACTGGAAAAACATAATATTCTATTGTGGTGTTCAAAATTAACGACTGAATGTATTGAAATTTGATATGATCCTATTGTAGATTAGGGATTCCAGCTGGTAGGAAATTTATAAGCGTATCAAGTACGTTTTGCATTTATTTTTATGGGTTGGTTGTCCAAGTTAATAGGGATTCATGGTGAGATAGATTGGTAGGAAATTTAGATGTTGAAAAGGTGGTATTATGATGGAGTCGGAAGATAACAAACATTTGAAAAGAAGAAATACAAGAGAGCTTAAATATTTAAAAATAAAACTCCAATGAATTGGCCCCTTCAAAGTGGACTGTAAGGAGGTTTGCCTCCTCAAAGGCTATTTCCAATAAGCTTATTATTTATTTTTATTTTTTATATTTGTGCGGTATCATATAAATTGGTATCAGAATACTTTCGTCGGCTACAAGCAAAAATTAAAAAGATCAATCAAAAGTGAGAGGAAATCCAAGATAACATCGCCGTTCATAGATGTCAATTCTTCAATCAATGCACTAAAACGTAGCAATGAGGGGCTACGATCGACTCACTACGACACAGTAATGAAGCCATGAATCTGCTCAATCAAAGCACTAAAACTTAGCATGAACACCATTACCATGGACACCATGGATTTTGCGGAGTAACACTGTGCATTGTCAAAGTGAGAATCCCAACATATAAAGAAGTTCAATAAGAGAAAGAAGAGGATGAGAAGGTGGAACTATCAAAATAAACAGAAGTATGGAATGAGAAAGCCACAAAAGGGAGTGAGGAAAGTGAAGTTGCCAAAGATCTGTAAGGAGCACTGTAAGCAGAAACCCCCACAAGCAAAGTGGCTTTTGAAAATGTAGAACTGGTAAAGAAGATATCCATAGTGTGGAATTGGGAATATCAATAGGGAAAAGAGAAAAAAAAATATCATCATTGATAATAAGGTTGTTTTTAAGTGGGGTAAATGATATAATCCTAGTCCAGATTAGGGATTTCAGGTGGTAGGAAATCCATTAGAATGGTAACAATAAAGTCAAGACAGTTTATGGATATCGTTTATAAGTTGGTTTTCCTAGTTAATAGGGATTTATGGTGGAGTAGGTTGGCAGGAAATGTAGATGTTCAGAAAGAAGGTGTTTTGGTTGGGTTGCGAGATATGGAAGATTTTGAAAGGAGGAAGAATTGAAAAGGGAGAGAGTAGAATGTAGAATAAAATGGAAAGTTGAAAAGAAACCCTAATGGAGAACCAGTCCCCTCAAAGTGGCTTGTAAGGAGGTTTGACCATTTAAAAAATAAAATAGATACTGACGTTTGATAGTTTTTATTTATATTTGCGTGGGATCATTTCAGAATTATTCCTTTCACTATTCAATTGTGGCTGGTTGCCAAAAGTCATTGATATTTCAGATACCATCCATAAATATTACCATTTGAGAATTGGAACTGGTATAGATAAAACAGTGCAGGTTTGATTGTTTAAACTGGTAGATGCACACCGCTCTAGAGAATAAAGAGATTATCTAGAGGAGATTGAGAGAACCTATCTCAATTTGAATGAGAGGAAACAAACACTAAAGCTTTAATTTATTTTGAAGCATTACACCCCAACCTATGTAGAAATATTAGATTACGACAGAGTAGTCCGAATGAAAATTGGATCTGTTTCATCCTAGGAAAGGATGATGTAGACCCAATTTTCATTCGCACTACTACTTCGTAATCTGAATTCCATTCAACTATTCCAATGAGGATAGAATTATACCTCTATTCACTGCAAAACCACCAACAGAAAAATAAAGGTATGCATGACAATAAGAATGGTGTAAGTTGCAACTTCTCCTTTGAATAAATCAAATTGATAAATTTGAAGTTCTGAACCTTAATTGTAATAACAAATTCTCTAAGAGTAAATAAACAAACCTCAATAAGAGCAGCAAAGGAAGCAGCCATCATGGCAAAAGCTTCACCGCCACTGAAAGTAGGTCTTCCCCATTGGAATGGATATGGAATCCTAATCCTGCAGAGAATTTGAAGAAAGATTATCTGAATACAACTTTTCTGAGAGGTCCCCCTTTGCAAGAAAGATCCAGATTGAAAAGCTAATCTCAGGTGAAGTTGACATTAGGCAATCATTTGTTACGACTGATGTTAACTCTCCCTGTAAAACTTGTAACCAATATTAAACATTCAAATGATGTCAATACAGTTTTGTGATTGCCAGATGGATAATGTTTCAGATTAATTACATTTTTTATCAGGACAATAAATTCCACAATACATGGCATGGAGGCTAGTAAAGGACAAGGAAACATCATATAAAACGGAATCATATAAAAAGGAAAAGCAAATGTCAATGTGACCCACGATTAACGGTATTTATATACATATTACATAATGTTTGGCTGTGCAACAAAACCCATCTATATAGTTGAACTATGTTTGCATTCAAATAGGCCAAGAAAGTTCAAAGAATCTGTTAACAAGATTAGTGTCTTCACTCAAAATTCTTGAATATGTAATTAATTTTACAAGAGAGAATTGTGTGACCCTGAAACATCAGATAAATTTTGTGGCTGGTATAACATATCGGAGGCTCTGAGCAGCCAAACAGCCAGCCACAATACAATAGAATTAATGAAAACGTAAACGTGAAACTTAATTCATTGAAATGGACCAAATCAAAGCAACAAGTGAAACAAAAAACCAGGGACGTCATCAACGAGAGGCCCAAAGCCAGGAAGGTAACTATAATTTTACTTTTCATAAGTATAGTTGAGCATCCATAATTAGGCTAACATCTACAATAAGACTAACAAGTATCATTAACTTGAAGTACAACAAAACTGAAAAAACTAGAGATTGACAACAACATCGAAACAAGAACATTACCATGGTGCGGCAGCAATAAGTCCACTAACATCAGTACGACAATGGATCTGGGTTGTTACAGGTCTATGCTTATATGCCCCACCAATAGTAAGGAAATGTGCGTAAAGCCAAACAATGGCTACTGAAGACAAAACAGCGATGCGGAGGAAGATTTTGCACCTTCCACCGAATAAATGTGGAATGTACTGCCATATTAATTGGTAACAAAACATCAAAACCATTAGCATCACAATAATCCTGGAAAAGAAGGAAGAGTTCCAATGAACTAACCAAATTAAACTAGTACGATTCATAACCCAGAAATATTCCATAATTCACAAAACAGAGAGAAGAAGAAACACATAACAAGACGAGTATTATGCCAAGAATTGAGCATTAAATAATTTAGAAGAAAAAGCGAAGGAATATTAATGGGTCAACCAGAGTAGAAAAGAGGTCCTTACTTGAGAAAAGAGAACCAATACAATTAGTTGGATGAGCCCAATCTCAACACATTTTGCTACCTGTAGGCAGGGCCCCATGGAAACCACAATAGTTGTAACAGTTATTTTGTGAAGGCCAAAAACAGAATGTCTCACCTCTACAACCCGAACAACTCTCTCTCTCTCTC